CTTTTTTTTTTTTGACGCACTTTTCTGCTTTGGACAATTTTGAAATGAGCTAATCCAATTTTGAACCAAGAATATGCAAATAGCTATGGAGTTTAGAAATGAGTTTTAAAAATATTTTTCATTGCTTACCATTAAGCGTAAAATATGTTGTAAATAAAATGAGAACACAGGAAACGTTCTCTTCTCAATACAGCTGATCTCTCTCTCTCTCTCTCTCTCTCTCTCTGTCTCTCTCTCTCTCACACACACACACACACACACACCAAAAACCCGGACACTGAAAAGGCTGCCAAGGAACAGTATATTCAATGCCTTCTCTTTAATCAAGAAACAAGGAATTCCTTAGAATCTTTTTTTTTCCCCAAGTGGCCCTCTTTAAAAAAAAAAATGGAGGTAACACTTTCATTCAAAAAGTCTTCCAGTATCTGGAGTCGCTCAGACATATTGAAGTGAGGCAGGAGAGTAAGTGAAATTTGAAATGATCCAGCTACCGTTTTCTTCCCCTCCCGCCCGAAGGCCATTATCTCCACGTCAAAACGAACGAGGGGAGGCAAAGAAGCCAAACACGCTAAAAAGGATCTCTTTATTTTCCTACACAAGGTCACACCTACTTTTCCGCATTCAAAGGACAACCTCTCCTCACCACCACCACACACACACACACACCCCAATACCCGCAAACAATGTTCTGGGCATTAATCACCATTGCTACATTAACCTGGTAAATTTATACCCTGCCTCCCCCAGTGTTGCTTTGACGGCAGGATTTCACACAGCGGGGCGCTTGCTCGCTCTCTTCTCCGCTCTCCCACCGTTCGCACATGTTGGAAGCACCATAAAACCTGATAACCCACCCGGGGGCTCCCCCATCCTTAACCTACAGCCGCCCGCATGCAAAACCTGCGTGCAAAAAGAAAAAAAGAAAAAGAAAAGTACGCCGCACGTGAGGATCTTCGAATCCTCTCCTCCCCACACCGCTAAGGAAGGAAGAGGGGGAAAGGTTGCGCAGCGCGTGGCGAGTGACACCCGCCACACACACACACACACACACACACACACACACACACCGCTCCCCCCCCAGCCTCCCTCCCGGCTGCAACTCAAGCTCGAAGTAGGAGTCGGAGTCCTCCCGGCGTATAAGACGACCCCCCCACTTGGAGGCATGTTTTTCAGGGCAAAAAAGTCGTCTTATACGCCGGCAAATACGGTACATAAACATTTAAAGAGTTCAAATACAGAACGGAATCTTAGAATCCACACTTCGTATTCAGGAATGCTATATATTTGCTGAAATATTTTTAAAAGATTTTTCTTTATCTCATTTTTAATAAGAAAAAGTTATTGAAAGTAATTTAAGAAAAAAATATTACTGAAAGTGACTTAGCATTGTAAGTGCTACAGTAAGATTTTAGATGTAAAATCAAATCTCAGCCTCTGCAGTGTTTATTGCTGCATATAATGTGCATTTCATATTGTTCTGCTGGTATACAGGAAGGCTAATTTAAAAAGTTGGATTTCATTTCAACTTCCCTTCAGTGAAAGGAGCAGAGTTCATAAAACAGGGCTTTCCTGTCACTCTATTCTGTTGATCTCTTAAAGGATGGGTGATATTTCCCATCCTTTAAGAGATCAACATTAAGAAGGGGATGAAGGGGTGGGGGAATTGGCAAAAATGAATAGAAGTGAATAGAAGTTTTGGATGTATGACAGAGTTAACTTATTTTTGTAATATTAGGCTTGCCTCTGTTGCAATGTTTGCAAATATCAAAGCAATATAATTAGGAAAATAGGTTACTTCATTTACTTTTAAAGTTGCCTTATCAGTGAGATGGGCAACATATATATTTAATAAATAATAATTAAAAAAACAATTTATATGGCTGCCTATCTACCAAAACTCTGGGATGATGAACCAAGTTAATACTAAACAGGGCCAAGGATACTTTTGCAGTAATAGTAAAAAATTGTTCTGGTCAATTGCTCTGATGATAACTAGTTATTTCATTTATTTTATGTAACTTCGTGTTATCAAAATCAGTTCTAAAGTCTAGACATCAGTACATACTGAAAGAGGATGTTACTGAATAGAGCGGATGGAGGAAGTTCTCACAGTGTGATATTCAGCTGGATAAGATGCAGACTTCCCCTTCTTTAGAGTAAAAACAGGAGTCTTTACCTCTGACTTAACTGCATCAAAGCCAAAATGCTATCACTTAAAAATCCTGCTTAATCTGATAAGATGGGAAAGGGAAGGATATTATTGTGTTTTGGAGGAAATCATGAAGGCCAACATCTACTTAACTTGGGAGGAGTCCCCGCCCCTACACACCATGGTCTTATTGTAGCCTTTGGTGAAAGATCAAGTATTGCTTACCCGCCTTAAAAGCAATTCCTTCCAAATAATAATGCAGGGGAGGGAAGCAGAAAAGAGCAAATTCCATGAAACATGTTTCCATTTTATCAAATGTAGGAAGTGTTTTTTTTTCCACACGTTGTCCTATAGTCATTACGCGACTCTTCACGTGAAATTTTACTGTTTACTCCATTGACTATGCTTGTCAGAAATTGGCTGTGATGTGCAATCCAGGGACACTGCGACAGTTGTATGTGTGAGAACTGGCTGTAAAATTACATTTGGCAAATATTATTTTTATTATTAGCTCAACACTGGCTCGTATTACAAACCTTGTTCCTGTTTAATTGTTTGTTTAAAACTCAAAAGAATTTTTTTCAAGAATCTGATACAACAGGATTTTGTTATCTACGTGCAGAAATGTATCAATATATTTAGTAATCTAATATAATACAAAAATGTGTTATTTAGATTAAATCCTATATCCACTTGAAAATTAATCCATATGGAAATCAATGACACCTTACTTTAAATGGATACGTATGAGATTGTCTTGATACAATGAATATAATTCAGATGTTTATGTCTGGTCTGGTAATCATTAATGCTACAATTTTCCCTGTTCTCCCAAGGTTTAATTCACTATGTCTGGATGACCCACAAGTTCCTTTGTGCAACTCCAGAAACCTAACCTAATTGTGATTGTTAAACATTGATGGCACAGTTTCACAGACTAGAAACCTGGAAACCTTGGGCCTGTCACATTCTTTTGGCCTTAAGAAGAAATAAATGGCAAATCACTTCCATAAATCTGGCCAAGAAAACTGTTGGGACTTCTTGAGGTGTTAACCAGGAGTCAAGACTGATGCAAAGTTGTCTCCTCCTTCAGACTCTTTATATTTACCTAATCTCATGCATTCCCAACATCTTGTTCCTTTTTGTGTAAACAAAAGTATGTAGAGTGCAGGAAGAAATACTTAGCCAAATGAATTAAGACCAAAACATAAAATAAATTCTATGTAAATTTATTTGGCATCAACACTCATTCCTGTTCTCCATCTTATCTTTCTATTCCTATCTTTGCTTCCATCACATTCAAACATTGATTCATACTTTGCTTTTTGTTCTTTAGCTTATATACCTCAGACCTAAAGTTTAAGGAACCTTTATTTATCTAATTATTTCTATTCTCCTTTCCATTTGAGAAAAATTAGAATATGCAATTTTTTTTTTGTATGGGCTAGCCTTCTTCAATTTGACTTACTGTATGGAACTAAGTGCTTCAGTTTTTCCAGTAGGTATAAGTAATTAATCTCCAAGAATCCTGCTAATTTTTGGCTTATTTGTGGTTAAGCAAACCATGGTTTTTAAGTGTGAAGGCAGCACATATTCTTTATTCTTAGACAAAAATTCCATACCTAATTATTTTTTTAAAAAAGTCCCTTTAAGCCCCAGTTTATTGTTGGTTCATGTTAATTTCATAAAAGTTAATTCATAAGTCAACTCTGTCCTATTTCTGTATCTGCAGTTTAAAAATAGTCTTGTTCACATAAGCATAATTTTAAGCAAATAAATTTGAAATAGGATATTTGTACTTAGCACCATTTCTGAAATAGTATTTTAGTTGTGACAATTTTTTTTCTGATTCCTACATGAAACAAAGTCCTATTTTACATTGAATATTAATAATATTTAAGCCAACTACTTCTAGAACATTTGAAAATAAGAATTTTAATTTGGCAAATGAATGGAAGTTGATTAAATTTGGAAGAGGCAGTCTTGTGATCATTGTGGGAAAGATTTATATCCTGTTTCAAATATATACATTTAATTATCAGGAAACTTCATTTTAGTTTTATTTTTGCATCTCTTCATCCAGTTTAAGAAATCATGCTGTTCTGCCCCAAATACTTTCTTCCTAGAGTCCCTCTAGCCCTTTTTAATCTCTGTTGCCCATCTGTAATCATTCAATTAACTTTAATGGCTGTAGTTATCTACAATGCAATAGCAATAGCAATTTGACTTATATACCACTTCATAGTGCTGTACAGTACTCTCTGTATGGGTTTACAGAGTCAGCATATTGCTCCAAACAATGATCTCAGAAGGATGAAAGGCTGTGTCAATATCGAGCTGGTCAGAATCGAACTCCTGGCAGTGAGCTGAATTAGCCTGCAATACTGCATTCTAACCTCTGCTCCACCAGGGTTCAATGCAGCCACTTAAATTGTAAAAACTTTTGGTGAATAGTCCAGCCTAGGTGCTATCTGATCTAAGGAGACCCCAGAGTTCTCTGTTGTGACTAGCCAATCCAGAAGTCCTCCAGTGGAGGGTGCAGCACTAAGAAAAGATTGGTTGCATTTCTACTATCAAGGATGCAAACTCCTTCAGCTTCTTTTTACTATCATTGAATCATAAAACTGTAGAGTTGGAAAAAACATAAGGATTATTTATTCACAATTTACAGAAACACTAAATAAGCCATTTATCAAAGATAGATCTCCAATCTTTTATAAAACTCTTTAGAGATGAAGAACCCACAAAATCCATAGGTAGACTCTTCCACTGTTGCACAGATCTTATCATCAAGAATATTTTCCTTATATTTAAATAAAATCTAGGTAGCTGAACTTTATAGCCATTATGAATTGTGAGAAAGGAAATAGATCTTGAACATTTTCCCCAAAGCTTGCTTCATATATCTGAATGTGGCCAACAAATCTCCTCTATGTCTTTTTTCTCTCCACACTGAAATACCCATGTTTTCTCCAGTTTAAGAAATAATAAACTTTCCTTAGGCTATGTGAAAACATGAAATAGTATCAAGTTAATCACCCTTAACACTTTTAAATTGTATTCAAATATATATATATTTATGACAATAGTAAATATTAATTCTGGGATCTTTCTCAGCTGGGGCCAGTAGTTTCCAAGTAAGATTCAAAGACTATGGATGGATACATCTCAATTAAGTGCTAATCAGATTACATGCTGCTATGTAGACAAAAAGCAGTCAGTCTCTACTTCCTTACTACACGTACATTCAATTCTTACTTTTCCCTTTCAGATGAATGCTGTCTTTCTAAGATTGATTGAGGTGTCTGAGTAGAACCATAGGGAATTCCCTTAACAAGTAAAGTTCTTCAGAGGAACACGCCCATCCCACCCCTACCTCCACCCCCACTTCTCAGGATATTCTCAGGATATTCAGCCACAAGAATTCAGCCAGTGCTATTTGTCTAACTGTATTGTTCTACAACAGCAATACTTGTAGGAACTGGACTTGTCAGACAAGAAACATATCCCAGCAACTGATTCATATAAATGCAAAATGTCTCCATTCAACCAAGAAAATAAGAGCTTTTGAACACTCGAGAAAGACTTTATCCATTGCTTTCTCTGCTCTCTTGACATGGGCTTACAAAAATGCAGCGGCTGTTTGAGTTGCCTGTTGATTCCCCTGGCACTGTGGAGTATTGTTATAAATATTCTCTTATATTTTCCTGATGGGAAATCTTCGTATGCTTCCAGCAATAATCATACCAACTACGTGTGGCATTTTGAAGGAATCTGTTTCTCGGGTATTATGGTAAGTATGGCTTCTCTGATTAGCTAAATCTTTCATTTTCTCCACAGGACTCTTGGATCCTCTGATGTAGATGACCCAGGAAAGGGGGGAATTTCAGAATCAAAATAATAACTGCATTTTGGTAGCAATATAAGAGCCAAACGCAACATGTCACTGTACTGTAGCTGAGTATTTAAATGTTGATAGAGGTTTTTTTTTTAAATGTAATTTGATTATTTTCCCCCTCAGATGGTTTAAACATCATATAGGTCATTAAATGGATTTGTAGGATTAATATAATAATGATTGAGGACATGGATTAACCCTAATTGTCACACACACAGACGCACACACACATTTTTTTTACATATATATATATATGTGTGTGTATATATATATATATATATATATATATATATATGTGTGTGTGTGTGTGTGTGTGTGTGTGTGTATGTAAAAAAAATTTAGTCGGAATAAAATCACACTAACATATTTTTATTTATTCTTTTATTTCACAAGACTTCTATCTTAATTTCCTATTTTGAAAATATATTTCAAGCAACATTGAGCTGTAGAATTTAAGTATATATTTGTATTTAACAATGATGATGTTCCAAAACTATTGAATTCAATAAGATGACTGACCTTTGATTTAAAAAAATACAAAAATTGGCTCTATGTTCAATTGTGGCCTTGTTTTATGATTAATATGCTAGATTTGCTGTATTTTTATATCTTAAAAGTCAGTTGTGGGATCCTCAAGACATATTTAAGAATGTCTGCATTTGATGTATAAGAAATAAAATTCCCAATGTTTAATTGTATGAATGCAATTGTGAGCCTTAACAAGAAAAAAAGATTGAAGAAAGATGGGGAAAAACGTGAAAAATGTTACAAATGAAAAGAGACCCTGGTTGGTTCCATGAAATTCATATTTGAATGATTGTACCATAAAGATGTTGCCTAAAATCCTAAGTATTTCTTCACACAGTGATGAGTCCTGCCATTTATATGGGACACACAATTATTTTCCAAGTGAAAATAAGTAGTACACAGAAAAAAGAAATATGAATATTTCTTTAAAGTCACTAAAAAGTCACCTACCTTCGATTGTTGGTGTTTCAAGGCATTCTATTACCTTGTAATGAGTACATAGTTAAGGTTTAATGCTACATAGTCATTGACTCCACTCTGTTTCTATATATTCTTTTGAGTGCCCATAAAGATCTTACCTATGTGGTCTTCCCAAATTACTTTACCAAATCAATTGCGTTGTATATATGTATAATGACAATAAAGGTTATTATTATATTATTATTAAAAGGAACAATGCAAGGGGTTGCTTTATTCGCCCTTTGGTCTATCTAAAGTGAGTTACAAAATAATTTTTCTTAGGTGCAAGATGATCCTTCGGGATACAATGTCTTATTTTGAACAAACCATCCTATTTTAACTTGTGATCTGCCAGACATCCAGACTAGAAAGCCCAGCATCCCAGCCAGAATGTGAAATAGTAAAGAAATTATTTCTTTCTAAACTGATCCTGATAGATTTAGGATTTTTTTTTTCTTTAAATGTAATGCAAATGCAAAGTATCTGGTAGTTTTGATGTCAGGATGGGTGATTTATCCTTTTCCTTGGCAACCATGAATGGAACAAAGATACCCCCCCCCAAAAAAAGAACAAAAAAACCCAGGAAAAATGCCCACTGGTACCAGTTCTATTATGTCTGCAATTTAGAATATGTCCTTTTCAGAATTATCCATTCTTTTGTGTGTCTGTCTTAATAGATGTATAGCTGTCTCTCAAAAGCTAATTATAAGTTCTATATTTTAAAACATTTTATATCATATAGTAAGGGAACTACCAGCAAGTACCATATCCAAAGATGAAACTATTGGCAATGTTCAGCATAAGTTGAATATTCATGCATAAGTTCTATCTTTATAATTATCGATGATTATGAGGAGCACACAGAAAACCCTATGTTTTTTATTTTATTTATTTATTTGATTTGCCAATTGTTTACAAGATAATAAGTATAAGTGTATACATAGTTGTGAATACATGAAATGGGTACATATAAGAAAAATAAAAGAATAAGAGAAACAATAGGACAGGGACGGTAGGCACGATGGTGCGCTTATGCACGCCCCCTACAGACCTCTTAGGAAAGGGGTGAGGTCAATAGTAGACAGTCTAAGGTTAAAGTTTTTGGGGTTTGGGGAAGAGACTACAGAGTCGGGTAGAGTATTCCAGACATTGACCACTCTTGCTGAAGTCGTATTTCCTGCAATCAAGTTTGGTGCGGTTTTCCTTCTGTTTATTTTACATATTTTTTTCTTCTGTTTATCTTGGAATAAATTATTTCTGATATGTCTTGGTTCTATACTTTCAGTCAAATATGGTGCAAAGTAGCTACTCAAAATCATGCATTATCTAATCAGAATATAAGGTTCTGAAAGAAGGATTTTGTGAGTTTAATGTTTTCAAACTCAGCATGTTCTGTGCTACTGTCTTCTAGATTCTTATTCTAGCAGCAGTTCTGGTAATTCTGGACCGGGACACCTTTTTTGAATGCTTCCAAAGTGAAAACTGCACCAGAACATATAGAGTGAGTGTATGGTTTGCAAATGTAGTATTTTTGCTTTAAAAAGACCTTCCTTCCTTCTTTTGACACTTCTGACCCTCTGCTGTTGTTTCCTTCCTTAGTCTGGAATGGAGATAAAAAGAGAGAGAGAGAGAGAGACCCTTTGTTATCTCTGCTGCAAATCTGCAAAGCCAAACAAACAAGAACAGGAAAAATAGCTGGCTAGATGGACCAGTATCAACAGACATAACTTTAGATTTGTTACCAAATGTTTTTCCCTAAACTTCCATCTCTCTGTTAAGCACTGTTCTGTAGTCTCATGCTCTCCAAGTCTGTTGGACCAATTAGTGAAATTCTGAGTCTATATTAGTGAAGATTAAGATAATGTGCATTATAATCCTGAGGAGGAAACAACACAAAGATAATTGGCCTATCGTGTTTTACATGAACAATATTTTCTATTAATCCACATCTTGGCTCAGGCTTAGCATTGCAAAACTATTGCTACAGCAATCAGACTGTCTTCCTCCCAAGAAGCATGACATATTGCCCTTTCTGTCATCTTCAGTCACATGAAGAACGTAACTCTATGAGATCACCATGGTCTTGAGAGTTTAAGGATCTGTTTGATGTTTTATGAGATGTCAGTTTTGGAATAACACATTAAAAATAAGACAGTCTTATTTATATGGAATGATGCATTTGCTTGATGTACATACACAGTAAGTGGGAAAAATAAGGTATCCTTAGCTTACAACAGTTTGCTTAGTGACCATTAAAACAGCACTGAAAAAAGTGATTTTTCACACTTGACTGTTGCAGCATCCCCTCGGTCATGTGATTTATATTTGGATGCTTGACAACTGATTCACATTTATGACTGTTGCAGTGTCCTTGCATTATGTGACAAGCAAAGTCAATGGGGTTAAGATTCACTTAACAACCATGTTATTTAACAACTGCAGTGATTCACTTAACAAATATGGCAAGAAAAGTCATAAAATGGAGCAAAACTCACTTAACCAATTCCTCACTTAGCAATATAAATTTTGGGCTCATTGTGTTGTAAGTTGAGGACTACCTGTACTTTGTAAATGTAAGTCTATGAACAGTTAATTTTTAAAAAGAGAAGTGATGTCTTGCAGTGACTAATAACTTGTTCTGAGAGACTCATTCAAATTTGCTACAAACTCATCCATGTGACTATGGCTCATTTACGGCCGTATCATTGGGCAACATTGGTGGCCATTGGACATAAACAAGAGCAAAACCTGAATGGTTGTATTTCTGGTAGCAACAGGAAGAGGTGTTTATGGAATTTTTTGGCTCATTACCAAGATAATGCTATATTTTCCAGTTTAGAGGAGAGATGTCTGTTCCATTTTGCTCAGTTTCTCAGATGGAAAAGCAATTCAGACTAGCCTAGCTTCAACAGAGGAAATGCCATTTGAAAAAGCAAATTGCCAGTATCCATTCACCCTACTCTTTGATAAGGGTTATAGCAACAAACTAGGGTTATATTAATTCCTTTCAGGTCATTTCATTCCAAAATAGTCTACTGGCTTTACAGGCAACAGATCTAATAGTGCCTGAAACTATCATAGCTAGAAAAGAGCTTTGTTGCTAAATTTGGGCTGGAGTCCAACCTTTGGGAGCGGAAGGACAATGCATTCAGCATTTGCATGATGAAGCTCACAAATTACCACATAGGTTTAATCAGTTGCAAAGGGCATCCTGTACTAATTCTGTTTACTTTTGCTTTATTTATACATTGGGGTTATTTTCAAACAAAACACTTGCCTGCAACTGTCCATTGTATTACTATTATTATTACACTTTATTCGTTAAACATGAAACTCGGTCAACTGAACATTCAAAAGTGCATCACTGACTGGTGCTAATGGTTGATACGGGTTGCTGCCAGTGTCCTAGGTATCAACCAAGAAACTTCTTATGATGATGATGATGATCATCATCATCTCTTTTATTCATTAAACATGAAACTCAGTCAAGTGAACATTTAAAAATATCACAAATATCATCGACTGATACATTTTTATATGTTCAGTTGACTGAGTTTCATGTTTAATGAATAAAAAGAGATTACTATTATTGTTATCATCATAAAAGTGCTCTGCTTTGTATCTTTACAGCTTCTCATTTAAAAAAAAATCAAACAGCTTAAACAAATATAGAGCCAGTGGTAAAGGGAGACTGGGGAACATGAGGGAGGTTGCTGGAATCACATGTACAGTATCACTTAGAGGCTTGCAAGCAGGATGTTCATGACTTCCAATCTTGCCCAACCACAAGACACAACTATAAATCTATCAGCAATGTCCTCTGATTAGCTGAGGAGAAATGCAGCATGCATTCTACAAGTGGACAATGCACTAAGGTTTAGATGAGCACTACCTATTTTCTCAACTACTATTTTCTACAGGTGATCAAAGGATAAGATAGATCTAGGGATGTAGATTAGGAGTTGGCAATTAATTTTCCCAAGGGGCCACAAGAGAAGCTGGAATTGTGGAGAGCCAAACCAATAGGACTGTAAAGGTGCGTAGGCACATACATACATAAATTGGAAAAAAAAGTGTACATTTATTTACATTTGATTTCTGATTTCCAATTGATCTCACAAGGGACAGCCAAAGGGTGAAGTGGTCCAGGTACTGTTAAAATGCTCAGGTCTGTACATTGTTCGTTCCTGGTATTGATGGAATTTTTTCACTCCCTCTCACTCTGCTTCTTCTTCTTTTAATGCAGCGTTTCATTTCTGTTGTGCTTTCCCTATTAGGGATTGCATTTTCCGGCTACAGTCTGATCGTGTCTGCTTTGAGCTTAGTGCAAGGCCCATACTGCAAAACCTCAGCTGGCTGGGAATATGCTTTCAAAAACACGGCAGGCAGGTAAGAAACAGGCTTATCTGTAAAGCTCACTTTAGATTACATTGATGTCCGCATTGATGTCCGCAGCCAAATATTTAAATAAAATGGCCAAACGATCTGACCTTACAAGGAGTGGGTTGTGTCTGCTTCTGTTTTGTATTTTTAAAATTGCTTTATTAAGACAAGTCCATTTCCAGATTCTTTCACCGTCCCCATATTCATCTCTGGAAGTCTGATAAATCAGGGTCTCCAATCCCCAGGCTGAGGCCCATTACCAGGCTTTGGCTTGTTCGGAAATGGCGAACGTGCATGTTTGTGCAGCTCCACTTGTGAGAACAGCAGGTGAGCGTGCATTTGTGCACAGCTCCATTTGTGTGAGTGGTGGCTGAGTGTGCCAGCAGCTCACACACATATAGCTCTGTGTGTGCATGCCCACCACTCATGCATAACCATTCCTTCCCTCTCCCCCCTCCCAACCGCCGGTCTGCAAAGCTGGAAAGGTTGGGAATCGCTGTGATAGATGAATGGACAAAGAGTCCTTGGGCTGATAATTGTGTAAGATAAGACCTGATAGGTCTTTTACAGTACCTATATTCATAGTTACAATCTGTTCCCAGGGGTGGGCTGCTACCAGTTCTCCCTGATTTGGCAAACTGGCAAATCCCACCTCTGGCTGTCCCCACCCACCCCTCCCCTCCCATGAGTCCCCACGTGGATCCCAGGTAAGTACAGGCTTGGGAGGGTAAAAAATGGGCCTCTAGAGAACCTCCGGAGCCCAGGGAGGGTGAAAATGCCCCCTGCTGCTGTGCAGGAGGCCGACTAGACCATGCCCACCATGGCCACGCCTACCCAGCAACCGGGCAGAGAACTGGTTACTAAAATTTTTGAAGCCCCACCCTGTCTGTTCCCATTTCTTTATGTTATTGTTTCCTCTGATAGTTACCTCATGGATCCTACTTCCTGGTCCCAGTGCACTGAGCCTGCTTATGTAGTGGATTGGAACATCATTTTGTTGTCTATTCTGATGGTTCTTAGTGGTCTCCAAATCTTGATCTGCCTTCTCAAAATAATTTCAGAATTAAGGCAAATCCTGTGTGGAAATTATCCCATCTTTGTTCAGGTAAGAGAATAGTCTCCACAAAGTTTTCTTTTTACATAACATAACTGCTTATGTTATTTTTATTCTTTCAAGTTTACCCAGTATTCATATGCTTCTAGAACCACTGATTCAGTCAGTAATTAAATGAGACTTTAGTTTTATGGTCCAAGGTGAACTCACAGGGAGATCTTATGTGCCTAATGGAATCAGTTGTCGTGACTGGAATAATTTGGATATAAATGCATTTATTGATTGTATTTTATTATTATTTTATTTCATTATTTTAATGTTTAAAACATGCCCATCTCAACATCAATCTGGGTGGCTAGCAATGATTGAAAACACACAGTATCACAACAGTCTTGCAATAAATACAAATCAGTAGCTGAGATAATAAAAAAAACCCAAACATCTGTCAATTCAATCATCTCACAAGCTCTGCAATATTTCCTAGGACCGTGTCCATTAAAATCTTGTATCTTTCTGTTCTTTTTACAGCCTGCAGTGATCTAACAACCTTGGGGAATGACTCCATCATGACTCCATCATATCTCTGAGCATGCACTTTGATATTAATTTTTAAAACAGGCTTTTCTGTTTCTGTGGTAACACAAGAAGAACTGCCAATGTTTTCCCAACATATTATTTATGTTGCTCCACATATTTCAGCTAAAGTGTACAGTTTTTGGATAGTCTGTTTTTCTTGTTGCCTGTTTGCATACCATTTCTCTTTCTTGCATTTATTATGTATCTAAATTGTGAAGCTCCCGAAAAATGAAGATTTTTTTTGTGTTTACATAATATAAAGCACTTACCATCGATACCACATGAATAAATATTTAGTTCAATAAGTAGTCACATTATTGTGAACAACAACATTCTTAGTAAAGAGATAAACTTACATCTGGAATATAACTTTTTGTATCACAAATGGGATTTAGCATGATTAATGAGCAACTGAATAAAACTTCCCCTGCACAGTTGTTGGGAGAAATGTCAGTCTGACATATGAGATTTGGGGAATGTCTTTTGCATGTAGAAAGCCATAAGAATAGACTTGCCTCTACTAGTTGAACCATTGAGCAAGAACACTGGAATGGTCCCTAATTTGTGTTAATGAAATACAGTTATATTTATTTTTGATACTTCCCCACAGTGAGTAATAAAAAAAGCCTGAACTCCATCCTAACAAAGATTCTTTGCTCCTCTTCACATTCTTCTGATCTCATACAAGTAGTCCTCAACTTACAAGCTTTGGTTTAGCAGCTGGCATGTATTTACAATAGTCACACATTTTAACAGCCATTTTATTTCTGGCTCAATTGCAATGTTGGTGGTGATAGCTGGCAATTTTAGCTGCTCCAAAATTATTATGTGATAAGTGGACCAGAAAATAAAAATTGGACAAAGTTGTTCAGGAAACATTTTACTTCTAATAAAAAACCTACATGAATTAGATGGGTATATTTTAATTAACAAAAATGTAAAATAATTGTGATTGTGCTGAAGTTAATTTTTGGTTCCTACAAATAATCAGCCTTGTAAAATGTCAGTTTTGAACTGAACAAGTATATAACTGGAATTAGTAGAACAAGTAAAATAAATCTTCAGATTGAATTGTAGAACTTTTAATATAAGGTTGCAAGATTTGTTCCAATTATCAGTTACTATATAACTCTCCAAACAACCAAATTTTCAGGAAAAGGTGTTTTAAATAATATGGACAAGTAATGCCAGTCCTGTTTGAAATTTGATAATATTGCATTGATATATTATTAACTGCTTGGAATTTTGGACATTGACCTGCAGTTTAAAGCTGAAATACAACTTTTTCCAGATTGTGAAATGCAGGAAATTTCAGCTGTATCAAAAAGAATGAACAGGAGAAAATTGATGTTTTGTTGGGAAACTCCAAAGTATTTCACCATAGAATGGACCTTTAAATTTTTAAAAAAATCTTTTGATTAAGAACAATTTTCAAAATCATATATTGAGAAATAAAACATGATTTACATTTGAACAACTTTAGCTCTGCTAAAAATGTTTTTTTTACTGTTGTTTCAATAATCTATGAGCTGTAAGAGTTTTTGCCACCAAATCTGGCAGGGTTTCTTTAAACAAGAATTGTGCAACCTTCCCGGCTGTTGAAACTAAACAAAAGCTTGCAAAGGGGGAAATACTGAAGATATTTAAAGAAGGTATTGCTGGGTGAGTCCATTGGACTAAAACAACCTCGAATATGAAGCTGTCTGTGATAAGCCACTTGTTGGCTTATTATTTGTTCCAAGTCTCTGCAGTAACCAGAGAATACTACATTGGAATTAATGAAATTGATTGGAATTACGCTCCAGGAACAAAGAACATACTATCTGGGAAGCCCTTTTCAGAAGATGAGTAAGTCTCGACTTGTTTAATTGGGCTTATATTAAGTTTTCACATTTTTACTATGAACTGTTTATTTCTATTCAGCAATTACTGGATGCAATGAAGGGTAAGTGCCTGACATTTCAACTAACCATGGAAAAGATATTTCAGCCTGAAAACAAACTTGAAGAAAAAGTTTTGCCTGCCAAAATCTTACCACATATAACACTAAAGAGATCAAAGCCTTGTCTCTCTGCACCTGTATGTGATTATAATCTGACTTTTTCTTTTGTTTGCATTGTATATGATGCAGATTTAGTTCTGCAAAACAGTTTTATTACTAAGGTTCATGTGTTGGGGTTGGGAGAAAGAAGCACTTTCTGCTAACTGGATCAAAACCTGAAACTAGATCATCCTAAATATTTTGTACAGGTGTGGCATAAATATATAAATATGTTTATCGTAATCTAGAGGTATTTTGTTTTACTGCTTAGGGGAAGAATCAGTTACTTTTTCAGGCATTGCAATGCATTTATTATAACTTTCATGAGATATTCCTTGGAAACAATTTTCCTTGGAAGAATTCTACCATTTTATCATTTAAATTCATTTTGGAACTTCTGAAAGTGCTTTTTCTGAAGATCAAAGGTGCTCTTGGTGATCCTTGATTCTCAATCTTGGAGATATTATGAAGTATTCCCCAGTCAACATGGCAACTCTGGAAGTTAAAGTCCCTACATCTTTAAAGTTCCCAAGCTGAGAAACACTTCTAAAGTTGTTCAGGCAGAGAGGTTCTAGTGGTAGCAATGAAAAGCTATTCAATCTTTTATTTTTCAGTGTTCTTAAACAGAGTGGTAGGTAAACAGGAGGCATGTGGATGGGAAACAGCTATGATAGCTGGACTTCCTATAAAATGCCTGGAACAAAGCAGAGCAATTATAAAATATGGAATTCTAGTGAGAAGTTGGTACAGAGTATAACTAAAAGCTCTACTGATTGGTATTCTATTTAAAGATGAAGCAAAATGCTGGAGTAGAGTAGGCTGGCACAGATTAGGCTAGATTTTTTTTTAAATAAAGCTAAACATTCAGACAAATATTTGCAGTGTTAAGAGAAACAGATTGGCCCCCAAATGTTCTCATATGATCATAATACTGGGTTGATTTCCTCTGATGCTTTCTTAATACATTTCCTTTCCTCTTTACAAAAGAGGCTGAGAGGTAGCCTGCAAGCAGAGTCTTTGAGGACCTGGAGACAGGATGTGTATATTGTCATCCTCTCCTTCCTATGTTGATGTATGTTTTATTTCCTCCACTGTCTTTCCTCCATTGAGGTCAATAACCCAGTAGTCATGTTTCTGCAGAGAAAGTTGAAGTGCTGAAATAAATCTTGCCATTATATTTTAACTGAATAGTGTTTGAATGAAGAAAAATGATGCATCTGGCCTTTTCAAATAGTTAATTATATTTTAGATGGGATTCCTTCATATGTGAAGCCTGGAGTGATTACCTTTATTAATACACACATTTTTAAAAGGGGGAGGGGATATATTTCTTCTGTCTCAGCATAAAGGGAAGATAGGGTAGACGTTCTTAACAGCAGTGAAAGGTTATGTCACCACCTTGTAGACTCCACCTTTCTGATACCTGAACACTTTCTTTTAGTTGTGAGAATCAGAAAAGAGCAAGGATTATTTTTAAGACTAGCAAAAGATTTCTGATAAGTTAGAGTGAAGTTATTGAAGTTATATTGGATACAATTAAATGGAGGGAAAACCATTGTTTTGTTAAAACATTTTAAAAATATGGTTCATCTCAGGTTTAATGCATCAATAATAATAGGTAACAATAACTCTTAAGCATTTCTAAATTAGTCAAACTGATCTTGGCATTCAGTCTCTGTCACTTGGGGATTGTATTAATCAGCCTTATGTTTTCTGTTAAAAAAGTAGGTAAGGAGGAAATGGGAATTCAGAGTTTATTTTATTATCATTCAGTGGTTGTCCAGATTTTTATAACTCGGATCTGCTGTTCTAGCCGAGCAAAAGAGAACAAGTATGAAGAATGCTTGAAAAATATAAAGTAACAGAAAGGCAACAGTGACTTGAAATTCAATCTCTGACAAAAGTTAGAGCTTCCTCGTTGAGAATCCATTGAAGATTGTGTTACACTGCAGGAAGAAAGGCTTGTCTTGTCATATTCTGTATTTCATGTTTAATCTCTATTTAAATGCTTCAGCCTTCAGGAATCTTAGTAATAAGATTTATGTAGGTTTATTTTTAATGAAAGCCATTATCTTTGCAAAGAAGAAGGAAAAGGTTACAGTGCCCTTGTCAACAGGAAATTATCTGTACAGTTCTAGAAAGTCCATACATGCATCTCTAATGTAATTAGTGTCTCATAAAGCTTCTGAAAAACAAGATTGTTAATGATTTTTACAAGGCAATATTGGTTTTCCTTTGAAACAGTACAGTCCTCTGCATCAGTTGAGGCTTCAAAGCAACTCATTGGTTAATTGAGAAAATCAAATCTGCTAGGCATTCCCAAGATTGCTGGGAATCAAACTCTGAAATGAAATAACATGTAAATGCTGTGATTTGTGGAATTGTTGAACAGAGACAAAAGTTAGTGATTGATAGAGTTAAGAATTTAGCCTGGGGAGGAAACAAAATGACTCTGAAAGGTAAATCTAGTGATCAAGGTGCCAGAATAGTACAATGTTTATTGTGTTCAATTCGGGCACTCCCGATGTTCATTGAATAGTACAATGTTCAATTCGGGCACTCCCATCTCTTCTGTTGTGCTTTTCAAGTGGTAACATAACTTCTAAAATGATGGTGCAATGCAGTTAAAACACACACCAATGTCTAAGTGCAATAATGGAAGTTATAGAGCATAAGACAGAGACAAGACAAAGTAATCAGATCAAATTTTGAATGAAGAAAACAGGATTCTCAAATGCATGGTTAGTCAGGCATGAACAAAAGCTACTACCCAAACTTTCATCCAGTGCTCACCTGTAAATTTTTATTTTTCAATCTATAGTGCAGAAGCTAGTTAAAATTGGCTGCTAAGCTTTTGCTGTTAAATAGCCAGAACCCACAAACTTGAACTTCCCTTCTCAAAAAGAACTTAAACATTTAATGCTGTCCATTTATTTCCAATTTGCACAAGTATGCATACTGCAATCAAAAGGCAAGTGAAAATTACTGTTGTACTGCAATACAGTGCTTCTGTTACTATTTCCCAGAACCAAACTCTTGTATGCTGCTTGTGATAGAATATCTTATTTCTTCTTCCTTTTTCTCATTTACCATTCTCTTCTCTTCCCCATTATTAACAGCAGAGATGTAGACAACTCATTCAACAAGGAAATATAACTATAAAAAAAAGAGTGAGCCAAGCATCAGAAAGCAATTAATTGCTCATATTTCAGATATGACAAAACCTTATGGGCACCAACCCAAAGTAACAAAAAAAAATATCCCAAGTACTCTAGACAATTTACATACAACAACATCATTTGTGTTAGCTTATCTCAGAAATGGTATACATTTGGTGCACATGTTGTACAGTTGGATTTATCAAGACATTAAAATATAACAAACACCTATTTTGTCAAACAGTTCATTAAATGTTGACTCCACTGTAGTAACTTACTCTAAGAGTTGGTCCTCAGACCATTGTTTAAACAACTGCAAGGGGACTTCCTTGTCAGTGAACAGAGGGACTTTTGTAGGATCATAGGTAAGCAGAGAATCAGAAAAAAATTACATTTCTCCATTCTAATGTGAAAATAGCTGATTTGCTAATATACTTGCAATCCTATCTTTCTTAATAAACTTTACCAAAGAGAATTGTGTGAGAATTGAAAACAAAAAAATAATTTAGTCAGGTAATTGCTGTATATGGCTATCATATCTACTGAAAAAAATCTGGATGACCATTACATGACTGCCACGAGACAAACCTCTATTTCTTGTTGCTTATTTACTTGATACAGCTGCCTGTCTCACTATCTGTGCATAGGTTACAAATATTAAAACATAGAGAGCCTATCACATAAAACTCAGGGCTCCCAAATTTTCTTTTTTAATTCACCCAACAAAAAACACTCAATAACAACAGAGCTCTTCTATTCACCTGCCAGCAAGATCTCCAATGCCTTGAAAAAGGCTAACAGAGTGATTCAGATTTTTGCAGATT